TGGTAGTAGGCTTTCGAGCCTATACAGCTTGGAGTAAGACAACATGCATGAAGAGGATGATGTGGACAAAATACTCATTTGCCTAATAATTCTGCTCTCCCTGTATTACATATTATGTATTGAATCATAGCTAACAAGAGGAGATGACCCATAAGCCTTTTATATATTACATTATGCATTCATTCATATTACTAGAGGTTGTTTTTTAGTCATACAGGTTTAATTACTGATCTGTGGTCTCACTTGGAAAACATTAAGTGTCACTTTTCAGCCTGCAAGATTAATGTTTTGAACAGGCATAGTTTTGATTTATTAACCTAACTAAACAACCAGTGAACACATACATAATGAACAGAACATAAACCGCAGCTCCAGGTTTAAAGGGTTTTTTTCTCCTACTGGGACCTGGACTGTCCGCTGAAACACAAGTATTAGAAATATCAGATGCAACTTTAAAATAGCCACACTGATAATGTTCATCGGTTGGTTTAAAAAACAGTTATCAACATATTTATTTGTCATTTCACAGCTTGGGCCTTTTGTCATGAAGGTTGTGTGTTTTCCTTGTGGCTGCATGGAATCCCTTGGGTTAATTAATGATTCCACATTGTCCTTAGATGCATATGTGAGCATGAATCGTCTGAGTTGCTGTGTTAGTTGCTGTGATGGGACTGGCCAACTGTCTGCAGTGTACCGCACCCCTCACCCAATGTGTCCTAGGATAGGGTCTAAGTGGCTCTAACACCTAAATAGCTTCTAACTACAGTTTAATTAACTGTCAATTTTCTGTTTATTCATAGTGGTTTTTATAGCGTGGTACCAGTAAAGAAAGAACGGCTGTTTTTTCATTAGAAGTAAACATTAAGAGTCCATGGGGACTCAAACTGTTGATAAGTGATCTATTTTTAATTTGATTGTGAGTGATCTGTGGGAATGTGACTCATTCTGATAAACATCAGAGCTGAGGAAAGATGAAAAAAACAATGGAGACAGAGTGACGTTCCTCTTTTTAAAACATCATCCCCGTGTCTTTGATAGTCTTCTGTTTGTGATGGACGTACAATGCGCACCCATTTTTAAGGTCCCAGCTCAGCAGGGCAGCCTTATCACAGACAGCAGCTGCAGATTGACGAGACCACTGGCAGACTTTGGCATGAAGGACAAAGGGTGAA